GGAGAAAAATAGCTGTCAGCCCAGCTGGATCCGTAAGACAACTTCTGTCCACATAATAGTTTACTTTATATGATATCGAACACCAACATTTATTGCTGGCTGACTACAAATAAAAAGGTAGAATAATAGGTTCCATCAGTTTATTTCTACATTAATTTTTGAAGTCATCCAGATCCTGGGTCCCACTGCCATTTTTTAATTAACACTTTAAATGCCATGCTTCTGCCCCCTGCTCCAACCCCCAAAAAGCAGAAACCAAGCCAGAGTATTTCTCTTTCTGGAGGACAAGGCATATATCAGAATATTTGCTCTCCCAATTTTGGCATTCACTTTATACCAGACTTTTCTAGCAAACCCAAAGAAAAGCTAGTTATTAAAAGAACTGTAACAGCCTCAGCCTGTTTATTACAACTTGCATATCTAGTTGAAAACAGACTCACTGGTTTCTACTTTACCTCGCATGGCTAAACACTCAAGTCTGAAAGTGCAGTTTTTCATTATTTTAATTGCTTGCTGGGTGGTTTAAAGATGCCCATATTTACCACTCTTCCTGACTGTATTTTTTAAAAAAAAAGATTTGTTTAGAAACGCTGCATTTCTTTGCCAAGATTGGACTACTTAGTGCCATATGTCTAATTCCGGAATCGGGGTGTCCTTGTTATGAGTTTAAACTGGTAAACATCATAAAATTTAGAAGGAGCAAGGTCAGCTAGAAAACTAAGTGGTCAAGCAAACATTTTCTCACTTAAAATAAGATAACCTCTTTTTCTTTTTTCTTCCCCACTCCCCCTGCCCCAAGCTGTCTCTTTCAGCCAGCCAATCAAAGTGGAAAGGTACTTCAAACATACTCAGCCCAACCAAGTTTTCACTGCTGTCCTTGTTGGTGGTCCGTCATATGGAATGGTTTTAATACTTGGAAGCAATACCTTAAGTGTCAGAAAACAAGAACATTTTATTTCTGCAGGAAAGCTTTCCAGTAGTACTAGTATTCTGGAAAAGAAAAAAATTCCTCGTAGTAGATTAAAAGGTGAAAAGCCAAAAGAAATCAGAAAGAAAACTAGGAAACTATTCCTTATGGCAAGGTTCAACTTGTATCTCAAAGTTGGGGGAACAACTATAACTTATATATTTATTTAAAACTCATTCAAGAATGATAGGAGAGGGGCATATTTTTTTCAGTCTCAAATTTCTAATGGCAAATGAAGTCTTTGGCTATGCATCAAAATCTATTTGGTACTGTTAGATTTAAATTACATTGACTCAGTAGAATTTTAGAAATGCAGTACGCAATGCACTGATGCAAGACATAGCTTGCTGAACAATGCAGGAGCTATAAGAAAATGCTCAATGTAAACATTTCTACGTTTCTGTTCTTTGGGAGGCCTCAAAAGTATTTGCTTTGAATCACTGTTTTTCTTTTTCCCTGAAGATAAAGCAGTAAATGTGTCAAAACTATAATGTACCATTCTGTCCAGATGTCACCTCAGTGAATAAAGGTGGCAGTATTTATTCAGGTCTTCTATAGTCATAGAGGCGGTAAAAAAAAAACAACAAACAAAACCAAACATATATTCACTGAATTTTGAAAGTATCTAGCCAAAGAATTTCATCTGCATGTAATTCTTAAGTACACACATAGCAACTGAATATGCAAAGGGCTTAGTACAATCCTGTACAAAAATGAGAGCACAGTCCTGCCAGATTAAACCAGAACAAAATGTACTATCTTACATGTACAACATGAATCCGTATGTAATTTTGCTGGGCTAGAACAGAGTACAGTGTGTTCCCATTAATACTTACTCATCTTCCATTTCAAACTGTAAGCGCGTCTTTTCAGATAGCAAATACTTTTGGATATTTAAGTAACAGCTAGTTCTATTTTACTGAGATTACTTACTAACAAAGGAATGAATGATCCTGATTAAACTGGCTCCCTGCTTGAAAAATATCAAACACAACAGCCAAAGAAAACCCCTTTGAAACATTCCTGTGTTTGGAGGGTGTAAGGAAACTAATCTTGGATCATGACGATGATGATGCTATATAAAAATAATATCCATCTATCCCAACAAACTGGAAATTTTATTGGCCTGGATATGAGGAACAGTACAAGGGGGTAAGGGCACACTTGGGAAGATACGGAAGGATGACTTTTCCTGCAAGGGTCTCGACATCTTGTTGGCTAGCCAAAAGAACAGAGGTTGTGACCCACCCTCTTCTCCCACCCCCATGCCACAGTCTTAGTAACCTCTCATCCCTTTTATCTATTCTGCTCCCTTCCATGAATACAGATGGAAGTATGATCTTCACAGTAGATCAGAAAACACAGACCTCTTGTTTTGTTGGGGTCAAGTGCACAAGGTTATTTCACTTTTCCAATTTTCAACTACATTAATGTAACTTAGGACGTACAGGAAAACCAGGACACTGTAGGGATGCCCACAGGTCAATTCTGGTGTTGAGGGAAAAGATGGGAATGTATTTCCCACAGGCAAGCACCCCTTCAGAGTGGGGCAGGACAGAAAGTGAATTGCTAAAAATGAATTAAGGTGTGCGAGAAGATGCTACTGCATTTTTTTATTATTATTATGTGGCAACTTTCCTGTACCGATTCCATTTCTGTGCTGGGTACATTAGGTAATTAAAAATGGCCTTTGAATATACATACATTCCTCTCTTTTTATTCACCTGCATATCCTTATCACAATTACCACATACCAAGCCTATCCATACCAGCTTACAAAAATTCAAGAAATTATGTGATGAAGGATTTTCACCCTCTGGATTAAGACTTTCTTCCATTCACTGAGTAAACGTCTGTCCTAGTTTGGATAGACTGCATTTGGGCTGCAGTGCTCATAGTGGGGGCGGGGAATCGCCGCTTGGGGGACTGGCTGGGTGTCGATTGGCGGGTGGTGAGCAATTGCCCTGCGCATCATTTGTACATTCCAATCCTTTTATTATTGCTGTTGTCTTTTTATTAGTGTTATCATTATCATCATTAGTTTCTTCTTTTCTGTTCTATTAAACCGTTCTTATCTCAATCCGCGGGTTTTGCTTCTTTTTCCCGATTTTCTCCCCCATCCCACTGTGGCGGGGGGGGGAAGTGAGTGAGCGGCTGCATGGTGCTTAGTTGCTGGCTGGGGTTAAACCACGACAACGTCATATGAAAGAGTACAATGATACACAGAAAACAAGAAAATTTCAAGTTTTCTGGCTCGGTTTGACCACTTGTATGAACATTTCAGCAAAAGCATAAGTAAATTACAACTGTACATTATCACCATCCTATGATTAAAAGAACTACTACTAACACAGTTGCTTTTATTTTCAACATTCTCATGTTTTAGCACCAGTTTCAGTTCCAAGAATTCAAACTTAATTTCATACTGCTCACCAAGTGTCTGAGAAGAGCAGGCTTCAAAGCTGGATCACCTTTGTGAAAGAACAGAACTTGACCAGATCCCAGATCCAATTCAGTTCCCAATGGAATTAATGGAAAAGTTTCCATCAAATGGAATTGAGAACTGGCTTCTGTATAGAGCTATGCTGGTATTTGAGGGTTTGGAGGGGGGGGGGGGTTCATTTTGTTTGATTTTTAATCTCCTATGCTATTCACATAGTCCAAACAGTCTATTCAAAGACTCAGATTATCCCTCTGTTATATTTGATTTATAACCTTCTCTAAAATGTGCTCCATTTAATGGAAACTATTTTAATCAAAGTGTATTACCTTTATAGTGTTTTTCGACTACTGTCATTAAATGCAGCCTGAGTTGCAGCTGCATTTTACTGTCCTGTAAGTTACTGCTTTCCCGGGTGTTTGGTCCAGGGGACATCTTATCTAAGTACCTTTTCTGTTGATAATCAAGACCCTCTAGGGTAGCAAAAGCATGAATTATTGTAAACATATTTCAACTAAGTTCAAATAAATTACAGTAGTTCAGCATGCTTTCTATTGTATCTTTTTTGCTTCCTTTTGTGTTCCTAAAAAGATACTTGGTCTAAAGCTTTAATAAACTCATCTCAGTTCTCTTCTCTCTTTAGACTAGTGATAAGCAAACTATTTTTCCGCAAAGTAGCTCCTACAAGGAGACCATCTTTCAAAATAAAGCTGCCAATCACTTGACAGAACCATATCTTGTGACTGCAGGGCAAGTTTGGCTCTTCACTCCCTTTTACAGGGAGTGTTTCCTAACAAATTCCCTCCTCTTCAATTAAGAAATGTACTGTAAGTGTCTATGAATGTAACTCAGACAGTTTTGATGTGAAGTTCAACTGACTTCTGGAACACATTGTGTTATGAGTAAATTTCCACAGCATGCCACACATTTCCTAGGTCTACTTTAGATCTTTTGCCAAGATTAACAGCATTTCTTTCATGTTGCTTTCTTTACATTTATATCTATATTCTATGTTTAACATAATGTTTCTATGGGTCTGGAGAAAGCATTAAAGATCTTTAACTTTAAAATACATAATTTGTTGCTTTCTAAACACTCTGCTTCATCCATTATTATGCTTCGCATTTGGTTCTTTATAATTCACTCAACCTTCCCTTCTGAAAACTTCATGAAGTAATAAAATTTGCTGACTTTTCACAAGCTGGGAAATGCAAGGTCTGTCTTGTACTGATTTATCCATGAAATAAAACAATTTAGGATACGTCAAACAATTCACAGAAAGGACAACCACCTCTAATTCTACACATTTTAGAGAACTAACTATAAACATCTATTAACACATCAATAAAACATTGTTGCTTTCATCTCTACTACATCCGAATAATACTTTCCATAAGTGGTTTTGATCCATTATTTCTACACTTAAGTGTCTTAATTTTCATTTCATGTAGTGTGTTATCATTCAATTTGCTATAAATTTGATGTGTCTTCAAAAGATAACACACACTTTGTATCTTTATTTCACAGTAATCTATATCTCAGAGTTACAAGAATGTGACAATCTCTTACCGTTTTCACATATGGCATACTGACCTGGTCATCATAACGATAAGTGAGGAATTGTTCCCCCGTGGTATCCTCAAGAAAACTCCCCTGTGGAGAAAGTGCAAACTCAGGCAAGAAGTATGCACCTTGGGATTGCTCTGCTCTTGTCTGTAAGAGATTCAGAAAGGTCACATTACAGCTACTACAAACACAAGTCAAAATTTTAAATCTCTATGCATATAATTACAAAAACTAGACACAAACTTTGGGGGCAGGGGGGAAGTTATGTGTTTTCAGGCACAGTATTTTGGGTGGATACTTTGCTACAGAGGTGTGCGACGACGATATACCAAATGCTTACAGGGGTTCAAAACCAAAGAAGATGCCTCAATAGCAGAATCATCTATTAATCAAAAGGATGTTATCCCTGCCTTATCAACCATCACTGCTGAAAACCACACTGGAAAAGCAACATTAAACTACACTTTCTTTTTCCTTATACACTTCACTAGACAGTTACTGGCTGCTGCAGATAATGGGGTTTTGGTTCAATACTGTATAACTATTCTTACAGGAAGATACCAAGACATAGAATCACAGAATAACAGCTTGGAAGATATCTTGAGAGCTCATCTTGTCCAGCCTCCTCAAAGTAGGGTAACCTATGAAAACATGACATGGTGAATTACTATCCTATCCTGCAGGGGAATGGGGAATGACTGAACACAAGGCAGTGGTCCATATTAGTTCTGTATGCTATTCGCAGTTGTTGAAAAGCAATTTGAGAACAGACTGGGAGAGGAAGAAGGGGCCATTCTGAGCTACAGAGGAGCTAATTCTGTCAGAATCAGAGTCAGTACCTCCAGCTGGGCTGTCTGACACCTGGGCACTTATTAGACAAATGGCTTTTGCTTTACTGATCTATGCATGTTCAGTATCATAACACACCTGAAATGTGCTAGACATGAGGAACACATGCTGGTTGGATACCCTGTCATTGCATTGTAGGTCTAAAGCATCCCAGATATATGGCAAATGTATTGCACAGACTCTTATGTCCTTATTCCTACTACATTGGAAGTCTACCCTGAGAAGCTAATTGGTTTGCATAATAAAGAAAATACGCAATCATCTTTTGAATGCAGAGTATTGAGTCCAGCTGTGGTTAGGGGAGAGTGGAAAGGGCAAGGAAATGAAAATTACCTTCCAAAACATTGACACCTTTCAGGGAAGAAAACAAGGCCTGAAATGTATAAGTTACTGCTGGACATTTCCCAATTAGTCAACTTAATAAATGGGGTTTAATTAAACTGTTTGTTATATTTTGACATATACATCGTAATTTTACATGAAAGTTAGCAGTGGCCATCAACCAGTTTCCAGACTATCAGCTAGAACTGTACCAAATATAGGTGTGTAATCTCAGTGCCAGATAACTAGAGATTTCAAAAGTAATCCACATAATTTAACCAGGTTTTGGTCGAAAAGGAAGGCAAGACCTTCTGCAGTTTCTCTCTTGCAGTAAGCTCACTTTCTGAAGCTCACAACTCATCTCACAAAAGGCAGACGACATGTCATTTGCAGTATAGGTCTGGAGATGTTCATGTTGCTTTTGCTTACTCTGTTCTGCAAAGAAGAAGCTGTCAGCTTTTCAGACTGTAAACCCCATCATTCGTGACAGCATTAGATTAACATACTTGTTTTAAATCAAGCAATCTTCATATCAACTAGAAATAGCTTGCAAAGGACATGTCTAGACTAGGGTAAAAGGTCATATTTTAGCATGCAAGACTGAACAAGATTTTAAAGAGGCTTTTTTCATCAGACCTGCATAAGAGTAATTCATGCTCACATCATGTTATCATGACATTTCTATAAAGCCTATTATAGCAGTGGTCTCACTTGTACACTTTAGCCAACTGACTCTATTTATGCAGAATTAAATCATAAAATATGGAGAATAAATCTACATTTGATAACAATAGTTTCCCCATAAAGCAACCAAGAGAGGTCCACAGTCATGCTTCATGCTGAATCCAAGCTGGCTGCAGCAGATGCAAACCTTGACATGTTAAGTATAACCCAGACATGAAACTGGCTGACATAATCTGGCATTTTTCCCCACTGGTTTCAATGGGCTATCGATAGATCCTATGTGAGGGAATATGGCAATGATGTAATCCTATGATTTCAGCACAGGACTAATGGATAAGAGATATGTGTTCTAAATCTCGAGTGGCTGGGGTGAAAGTACATAACATTGCTACCTCAGTTTCCCCAGGTGTAAAACACAATTACAACACCATCTGACCTACATTAATGGTGTACTGCAAAGTTTAATTTATATTTGTAAAATACTTTGGAAAAGAATAGTGTTAAGTGCTAGTGATTTATAACAATATTTTTGAAAAAGCTGCCTAATTTACAGACAGAAGAGAATCCAAATTACCCCACCACACTTCTTAGATTGCTTGTGTTTCTCATCTTTATAAGCTAAACATTTAAAATCGGAAGTCTTTGGACATTCATCAGTATTATGTTTGAATATAAAAGATGCCAACATTTGAAGCTGAAATAACAATTTAATAAATATGACATGAAAAACTAAAGGCTTCTCTCACACACATTCAATTTTCATATTAAAAGCTAATGAGCAGCTAGCCACAGGAGAAGCAGAAGAATGCTTGCTACATTAAGGCAAGTAAAATCTGGCTTCCAGGCATGGAAAAATTCAATGTAAAAGATGAATGTTTTATAAGGTTACACAGGAGGTTACAATGGAAACTGATCTGCTGACTACACCAATAGGTACTGCTACCTACCCACTATAACTAAAGTAAGGAAGAATGCAGCAAAGCATTTAATTAAAAATAAAAATCTACTAAGAACACACTATGAGTTGTCATGGCAAATCGAAGTTGAAGCCAAGTAATTACAGCTGGTAAACAACCCAAAACAAGAAGTTAATTTAAAAAAAAAAATCAAAGCTTCAAATGCTCAAAGAACTCTTCTGTATCAACTCAAAGTAGCAGAAAAACATTTTTTTCCCTCTAGATACAGGAACCTTCAGATAAGCTGCATGTGTCCAATGCACTTTCATTCATACATTGTACTGTTTCCACTTAGTCCACTTTATTCCCCACTGAGGAATCTACCAATGTTCCTTATGAGGCTTTTCTATTCCTATGGGCAATTTTGCTTAAATGTAATTCAAATTTCAAGCATCTGTGGGTTTATAGTATATTTGGGATCATTTCTGAATGACTTAGCTAATCTGATATAAATTCATATTTTAAACTAAAGACTGCAAGTGCAAGTTTCAGAAAACAATTACATTTCATGCTAGTGTTTTAAGTCTGTTTAATGGCCAGTTTAATATTAATAGCTTTAAGTTAAACATGTCAAAATTACAAGTACACTTAAGATTTAGAATGGGCATTTTAAACCAGCTTTTATGATCTTCTTAAACATATGAAGACGGTAGAAGGTGATAATGTAGCCAAACCAGATATAATAATAATCACTGCCTAAAATTCATTTAAATTAATACATCAGGTAGCAAGGAAGTGTGTACTACCATACTGACAAAGAAGAAAATTTAAAAGTTGGAAACAGGTTTGTGTTTGAAAATCTTTCTACCTATCGGTTAATCAGAACATGTAACTTATTAGTCAGAAACTGAAAAAACATAAGGTCTTCCATGCTACATCATTCTACCTATGTGATCAAGGAGAACTATCCTGGTAAGTAGACAATGTATGTAGGGTCTGGGAAGTGTAAAATGGCACTGTTCTTATTCAAAGGTTTATGCTCTGAGCACAGCTTTGATCTTAGGTTATGATTGCTTCCTCACTCATCACTCCCCACCTCAGTGCTTAAAGACTAAATTACTCTTCCACTTTCAACTGCAGAAGACAAAATGAATAGCTTATATCCAAGCCTCTGGTTTCTAGATCTCTCTCCACCAAGAGTTGCATGTTGTCATTTTTACTGCTGCCTGATTTCATTGCTCTGTATACTGCTCTGACTAGAAGCATCTGCCCTAGTTGAAGTTGCTGGATTTGGGGATTTTATATTTTATTTTATTACTGAAAGTAAGAGGGATGATTACTGAGTGCTTCGCAGCCAATGCTGACATTAGCAAGTAGCACGGCTGAGTAGGGCTGAATCTGCAGATAAAAGTGGTGTGCAGGACCGAATGCCCACACAAAGCATACTTGAAGGAGAGGGGCTTATTTTAAACTAGCTTTAGTCAATCCTATGGACTGAGTATCTCTTAGCAACTGAAGCACAGTAGGTGTACTGCTGGGGTACATCTTCTGGTTCAGTTTGATCCAAAAGGAATCCCATTAGCACACTCTGAAACCGCTACACAATGCAAACTACTTTAACAGCTCTTTTTTTCCTTGATACCCTGGATTCACATTGACTACTGCCATCCAACTCACTTGTAATTATCAAATCAGAACAGTTACTAAAATGTGGAGTTTCCCTATGACTAAAAATTACAAATATTAATCATTGGTCATTCCTTCCAAGGTACAGATTAACAATTTCATCAAAGGATTTAAACTGTTATTGTAATTTCAGATAAATTTAAAAAATGTAGTTTAGTCTACAATTCTCAGGGATCATTTGATACAAAGGCTATGACAAAGTTCAACCGAACCTCATAATAACATGCCACTATTCTATTTAATCATAGCCACCCGGAGACTGGAAAGTAATTGTTCCATATTTATATATAAACAGCAGCAGCTTTAGAAAGTGAGCTTTCTGCGAAGTCTGAGTTGTGAAGGTCAAGAAGATGAGAAAACAGAGATGGAATGTCTCAAAGAAACAACTTGAACGTAATTAGAAATAAAACGCTAATCTTGCAGGTACAGAGGAATTTTTAACTTCAGAGTTTCTTGGCACCAAGAACCACATTAAGAGAAAAATAAGAACTGTGCTCTCATGTACACTTCTTAATGCAAATCAGCATTACCTAGACTTAAATCAGTCATTCCCTAACCAAGCCTGCATGCTTGCTAAAATTGGGAGCATAATGAGAACAAGTTGTTTTGTGTAATGAAGAAGATGAAAACTTCAAAATTATCTATTTTAAATGCCCAAGATGACAAAATACCACACTCTTCCTGAAACTGCCTCAATATCTTGTTTTTAAA